GTAAAAATACCACCACTAGTATCAACATCCACCGTATCAAAATAATACATTAAACTTTATAGATTAAGAAGTTAGAAAATACTCTCTTCTAATTCATAAGATTTGAAAATTTCATTAAAGTTATCCATATAACCCAAGGATCCAAGATAGCTTTGCTGAGTTGGGAAAGATAACTCTAAAAAAATCTATGATGAATGCAGTAAATTGGACTTGCATAAATCATGAACATGAACCACTTTGAGCCATTATTGATAAAGAAAGTAATAGCATGTGGCGTATATTTACCACTATATAACTGAGATTATTGTGATGAGAGAGAATCAAAATTTCACCTAACATTCTACTAGCTTCCTCAATATAAATAGGAGCTTGTACCTTAAGAAAGACCATAATTTTTAAGTCCTAGCAAAAGGACCATATATGTGTCTCACAAATGATAAACACTGAAGACTTAAAATTTAGTAATAAGAGGACAAATGTGTCGTTTAGAGCTTTGACACATTACTCTCTTAATATTTCAAGTCATAATAAAGACTTACTAAAAGCCATTAAAATAGATGATACAAGAAAAAGTACAAACACTTATACTTTAGTATTTCTACGTAGCATTCTCATATGGTATCTCCAAAACCATCTCTTGCATATAACTATTTAACATTATCACCTGGTCTTCACAACTTGCATCAATGTATTAAAAATATCTATTTTTGGGATAAGGAAAATTTTCTAAATTATAAAATTAGTTCGAGGAGTTTTTGGAGGATTAGAGAAGAAGTCTCATTTTTTATTGAAAAATAGGTTCAAACCCAAAAAAGTGTTAGAGGGTTTTTCGAGGAAAACCTTAGTTTCTATCGAAAATGTCACATTTTGAGTTGTTTTAGAGGTTTTTGTCACCCTAGATTTTCCTCGAAAAATTGCTCAAAGTACAAAAAAGTAAGGAGAAAATTATTCCAAGTCCATAAGATTGAGAGACTTTTCAAGGCTTTTCTGAGGATTTTTTACCCATGGACTAAGAATAACTAAAACAGGTCGAAAATAAGATTGACAAAAAAATAATTCTAAGTCCACAAGACTGAAGATCTTTTGAGGTATTTTTTGAGGGTTTTAAGAACCAAACTAAGCTCCACTCCAGAATTGCTTGAAAAATAGGAAGTGGTCAGAAAATATTATAAGTCCATAGACTTGATTGAGCTCTAGACTTTCTCTAGAATTGCTCAAAAAAAGGAATGATCAGATAATACTCTAAGTCCACAAAGCTAGACTGAGCTCCAGATTCTCTCCAAAGTTGCTCAAAAAACAGAAATGAATAAAGGAAATATTCTAAGTCCACAAGAACAAAAAGAACTCTAAGATTCCCCAAAATTAATCGATAAATAGAAATCAAGGGGGAAATTATTTTAAGTCGATAATGCTAAATAAGCCTCTTAGATTTCTCTTAGAATTGCTCAAAAAATAGAAAACGAAAAAAAAAAGATTTGAAGTCCATAAGAGTTATGATAAGACTCAAAAGTTATTACATGGCTCAAAAGCGGTTATCAGTAGTTACCACCAGACAAAGGTTCAACAATATGAAAAAGTGTCGCGGGCAATAGCAATTATGAAAGAAATCACAACCAACAGCATGTGGATAATGGGCAACAGTTGAAGGCAGTTACCAAGAAGTGTCTGCCAAAAAAGGAGAGCAATAATGATTTCCCTTGCCTATAAATACGTCAAAGCTTCACTTTCCCGTGGGCGACTTTTTACACCCAGATACTGCACCTAAAATTCTCTACACACTAAAACTCTACACCGCGTCAGACACCAGCTACCAAGAGACTTATTGTGGTTATAGTCCGTTGTTGCTAGGAGTCATACGTTATTTTCTTGCATATTTACCTTTCCACACTTCAATTCCAATTCGTTTAGTTTGTTTATGTTTCTATAATTCAGTTCTTGTTCAATACGTTGTGTAAAACTTTCACATTTGATTATGTTCTATTTAGTCAATTATTTACTATTCCTACTGCATTATAGCGTTGATCTTATTGTTACATAATAGACACACTTTAAATAACTCAAGAGGACTTAAATCTAGTCCTCTCTTAGATTATTTGTTTATAAATTATTATTTTTCACCGTAAACAATCCCTTACAAACCTTTCTCACTTTACATTAAGGGCATCAAAATGCTTTCATCATAGTAGAAAAGACTTAAACTAGAGAACCGAACGCAAACAAGAAATCTGATCAATCTGAGCTATTGGAGATAAAAAATAAAAATAAAAAGTCCTCAGACCAAGAAGGTCTCACAGTATGGTAATGATAAAAAAAAATAAAAATAAAGCCACGAACTGTCTTCCATGACCTTCAACTTGTCATACTTTACATCAAACTTGACCATAAAGAACCTATGTCGAATAATTCAAAGTCTAAAACAAGTTTCTAAAGCTTATTCAAATGATCTTTTATTGTGTGAAAATCAATTTTCATTCTAAATAATTTAATTACTAGAGCAGGTGCACATAAGCCCTAAAAAGTCACGAATGATTACCTCCTTCACTGTCCCATGACTTCTCACCTGAACCCTCAAAATAAATCTTTTCATATTTTTTTTTAGATATATTCTTATAATTTCATTAATTTTTTTAAAATCAAACCTTAATTAAATTAATTATAATAGACTTGGTTCTTGATTTTATCTTCTTTGATAGAAACCAATTTGATCGCTTAAGCAACTTTTTTTTTATACTTATTAAAGTTTTAAATTTGGATATTTTAAACTGTAGTATTTAGATCTTCGTTCTTTTTGCCTTAGTTCGTTTTGACTTTTTTTTTATACATAATGTTTTTAAGTGTTTATAATTATGTACATTATCCAATTTCTTTATAATAATTTATACGTCATGTCAAAATTTGTTTCTCGTTATACGAAGACCTCAAAGAAATATCGGGGCTACTGGGGACGACATTGCATGAGCTATTATGTAAATAAATATTCTTCTGATTCACTTTAGAGTTCTTATGTGATTTGTCAAAACTTATACAACTTTCCGATTTTATAAACAATATTGACTTAAAGTCTGCGACTTGCCACGCTAACGAGATAAGAAAATATTTGGTGGAGTGCCTTTCATCCATAGAGGTCGACTATCATACCATATGGATCACGATCACGTGGGAAATCAGAAGAGTTCTGCATTTGTATCGAAGGAATAAGGATGCACACCTTTTAATATATATATATATATATATATATAAATTTTACGCACTTCAAAGAATGGAATTAAAAAGTCTCTCTTTTACAAGAAAATTATCTATGATTATTATGCTGATCTCAATCCGGATACACGAGTTAATATTTTTCCATGAGAAGTCCAACTCATATAGATACAAGAATCAAATTAAAATATTATTTAAGAAATAATCTAATTTTATTACATAATTATACATGAATTATTAAAAGTAAATTTAAGTAAAATTAATCTTAATCATATCCAAATATATTTTACGATAGTCAAGACTGATTTCCTTTTACCTTTCATTTCATGTTAAATTTAAATTTGATTTATTGTTAAAAGTTAATATACAATTCGATCCTGAAAGTAATAACTTTTATTGTTTTATTCTTTGAAAGTTTTTGTCTATACAAGATAATATTGAGATATAAAACCATCAAGTCAACAATATAACAGGCTAAAATTTTTAACACGTTGATATTTTTCGAAGACAATTTTGTATAAATGTGCATTTTCACGAACTAAAATAATTCAAAATATTGCTATCAAAGACCAGAATTGTATAAATTCAAAAGTTCACAACGCATCAAAGGTGGGTTATGTGGTGATTATGATTTACAATAATCAAACTTTTTTAATGATTTTATATAATTATTATACCATAGTATAATTTTTTATGGTGCATCATAATTAAGTCCATTTTGCTCGACGGACTCACTAAATATTGGCGTCCTTACAGTTAGAAATAAATGCATGCATTTGTTCGAGACAGTGAAAGGGACTTCAATATGTACTCGATGCAAGTTCTCAATCAACATCAGAACTGGCCCCAGAAGAATGCACGGTGGATTTCTGAGGTCAGAAGTTGAATGCAACTGACATGAACAGACAGCCTTAATGGGAATCATGCTTGTTGATGCTTTGAATTAATGAAAATACGAAATCAAATATTAAAAAGTGTAACTCCACCTGTCTCTCTATTCACATAGGGTGTTCCTCAAAGAGCCCCATATAAACTCAGAAAATATTTCAGGTTACAATATTTGAAGCTTCAATATGGAAAGGAGGTGTAGCCGTTCCTGGTGAAGCTATCTCCAGCTGTTGTACGTCAAGGACCTAGAAGGAACCAGTAGTGACTCCAGTCCAATGTGGCCAAGAAAGAATCTATAGCACGCCATTTCCAGTGTAGCAAGATTAGAATTTTGCGTTTGAATTTCAATTATGTTTCTTGTTCCTTCGCTTGTTTTCCCTTTGAAATTTTGGTACAACGTCTGGGATCAAAATTTTCCTTTCAAGGTCTCAAACATTTGACAAAACAAATAAGCTAACTTGCAGCTTATTTGACTAGTTTAAAAGCTTGTTTAACTAAATTAGACATAATCCCAATTTAGAATAACTTCTCCAAAAACACTAGTAGGATAAAAATAAGAACATAAAATAAATAAAATTTTCTTATAAATTAAAATCAACTTATGCTCCTCATGTTTTGAAAATGTTAATTGAAAAATCGTTTAAAAAAATTGATTTTAACTTAAGAAATCAACTATGCACTTCATGATCTGTAAAAGGAGAAAATTTCTAAAAAAAATGTTTTTAACTTAGAAGAATTTTATTTATTTTATTCTCTTATTTTCCACCCTACAAATACTTCTACAAAAGCTCACCCAAATTGTGTCATAATATAGAATAAGATTTTGACCTTTCAACCAGTAAACCATACTGATAAAATCCAAGGGGCAAACGCGAAAGGGAGTACTCCACAGTGTTGGCACACCAGACAACTCATAATGCAGTCTTGAGACAGTTATCACAGGGGCTAGATCCAAATTTGCAGGCTTTTCTATCAAAAGATTCTCCAAAGTGTTCGAGTAAATTCTGTCTCCGGCATTCAACCTAATCATCCAAACAAAGGCAAAATATAAAGTCTTGCGTTGTGGCTAATCGCCTTTCTGCACTAGGGACCAGTTTGTTACACCTTAAAAACAGATGGAAATCTTTTGGATGAATTTTATATGAAAATTTATATGGACAACTCATTCGTTAATGTTTTTTACCCCCATTTTCGAAAGTATATTGACTATAGACGTGAGAGAAAGAAAAAATAATACGTGTTGATATGCGGTGGAGTTGGCTTACCTTCAGTTCACAGTACTGTTGCATCTTTTTGGCTTGAGCCATTGCTGTCTTAAAACTTTCCTTTTTATATCCTTGGCCGTTTCTTATCATGCATACAACTCTACTAAAATCCTTCTTCTGGTATAGAGCTATGCAAACAGCAGGGAGATTATCTCTTCCAGCCCTTCCAGATTCCTGATAATAGCTTTCGATTGATTTTGACATTGTATTGTGGATGACAAACCGCTGAAAACGTATGACAAAGAAAAAATAATAGTTTTGGGTAACCAATAACTGGAAAACTAAGACACCACAAAGAAATTTTTAGTTAGTGTTAATCTCTATACTTGCATGTGATATTTGAGCTAGCCAAGCATTTAAATGTTTCACTAATGTAGACATACTATATTTTAAGTTTATTAGGCAGATTCGATATAAAATGCTTACAGATTTTGGGCTTATACTTTCTAGTTTCTACTTGCTTTAAGGCAGGATGGATAAGATGATCACTAGGAATTTGAATAATTGTGCAAATTATCATTTTTATTTTCAATTTAGTTAATTCAATCACGAAAACATGGCTTGGAAAAGAGTATGAGATAAAGGTTTTGGTAATGGTGTGCTTGGCCCTACTATGTCATTTCTCAGCCATTGCACCGGTGATCAATAATTACATAGCAAATCAACAATGCACCATCAGTTTATATATCAACTATCAAGACCAGGAATTACTCACAGAGGACATAATTTCTTTCTTTAAGTGTAGAATTCCTAAACAAAGTTGATCATAAAATTGTGAATAATAACAGCATTATCATAATAATTTAAAAAACGTAGCTCAACTTACAACATCAGGTTTGTCTATCCCCATTCCAAAAGCAATAGTTGCACATACTATATGGACCTCCCCGTCATGCCATTTCTTTTGAACAGCTACTCTCTGGCGGGCAGCCAAGCCAGCATGGTAATACATTGCCTTGATCTTGATCTTCTCATTCAAAAATTTTGAAACCTCAACACATTCACTTTTTGAAAGGCAGTAAACAATTCCACACTGATTCTTGAAGCGATCAATTAGTAGCTGTCCAAGCTGCTTTAGCGGTTCCTTTGTCTTAACAATGACTTCATACTTCAAATTTGGTCTGTCAAAGCTTCTTTCAAGAACAATTGCATGGGGAATTCTTAAAGCATTTAAGATGTCCTGAAAAGAAACAATTCAATTTAAAGGCAAAAATATGGGGATGGATGATACTCAATAAAATTGCCCATCATGGCAATTTGATATTCTGATTACCTCACGAACTGCATGAGTTGCAGTGGCAGTCAGTGCCATGACAGGTACATCTGGAAAATGTTGCTTAAGAGATCCCAATCCCCGATAATCAGGCCGGAAATCATGTCCCCATTGGCTGAAAAGCATAATTTTCAATTTAACAGTAGCAAATAGCAAACAATTTGATATCTCTTATTCATAACAAAATCATATAGCTTTAACAACCCCATCTCATGTTGATGCATGCATTTTTTCAAGTATTTTTGCTGTTTACAGTGTTGCTAAGCATCATTGTTTCTGTACAGGAGAGTTTGATTTGTTTTCCTTGAGAAACTTATAATTTCAATACAGTATTCTTTGTCATTTGTCCCGTTCCTATAATGTGTTTACCTACTTGAATCAACCTGTCCATTTTCACTTGATTTCTCTTCTTAATGACCACCAACAGAGCTAACATGGGATAGTGCAGCTTCACGGATGTGTGTGATTCATGGCATATGTCTCAAAATTTCATACAATTGTAGTCATTGATAAAAAAGAAATACCGGGATTGTACACCGAAAGCACAAGGCGTACCTAACACAGTGTGCCTCATCAACAACAAAACCTGCAAGCTGTCCCTGTGATTTAAGAGGGAGCACCAACCATATACATGTAAGATCTTTCAATTCTACTGCTCTGTGACAATGGCTTAAAAAAGTGTACTCAAATTAAGACAACTTTACCTTCTGATGCATGCATTTTAGAATCTGAAGAAATGATTGATTGCCAGCAATTCTCTCAGGTGTCACATACAAGAGCTTGCATGATGGTTTGTCTTTTCTGGTTACACGAAAACTAATGTAAGAAAATTTTAAATAATAAAGTAATCAATAATCTGAAACAATTTTTTTTTTCAAAAAAATAGAAAGAAAGAAATGATACTAGTACTAATTCACTATTTTCATGGGCAAATTATAGGACAGAAAATGCTAGATAAGAATAGACAAAGAAGTCAATCTCACCTTAGCTCTTGGAGGACAGCTGTGGCTTGGGAAGCAGTTTGTTGAGAATTTAAAAAAGTAGCAGGTATTCCAAACTTGAGGTTTAGTGTTATTATCTGATCTTGAATGAGTGAAAGTAATGGAGATACTACTACTGTAACACCCGGTTGAAGAGTTGCTGGAAGCTTTAAACACAAAATAAAGTAAACATGTTAGAAACGCATAAATTATAAGAAAATAATATTTCACCAATCAATGGAGTCTGGGTACCAAGAACAGCTTGGACAACCCTTCAAACAATTAATAAAAGGACAGTCATGACTCATGATACACAATCATTTGACAATTGACACATTCTAGATTTTTGCACTTTTGAGCAAATAGCTACTTCAAAAGAATATAAACAGCGCCCATATTAACTAGTCAGAAGAATATGGCCAAAAGACAAAAATATAAATAACCAAAAAGGGTTACAAGAAAGAACAAACCTGATAGCAAAGAGATTTACCACCCCCAGTAGGCATAAGAATAAAAGAATCTTGTTTTGCCAAAGCTACTTTACATGCTTGATGCTGCAATGGTCGAAATGCCTTATTACCAAAGATAACAACATTTGCCAACTCAATATCATCTACTAGTGCTTGCAATTCTTCGTAAGTGAGAGTCCTGTTTTTATTATTTGATGCAAAGGAGGACCGTATTTTGCTGGAAGTTGATGAAACTGAGCCTTGAGTGATGCCACTTCTGCAATCCTATAACATATTTTTAATTATTTTAGTAGGTCTCTCGCCATTATATCTGTCTTATATACCATAAAATCTAGCAAACAAATATAAACTAATAGAAAATATAATAGAACTAAGAATAGTCAAGGAATTTTTTACCCATGATTCTTGCCATCCAAATGATAAACTACTTTAGAACTCCATTTAAATGTTTTGGAAAAAGCTTAAGGCCCCAATTATCGAAGAAACTGTGATTGCAATTTTTATTAATGCCATATTGGGTTTGGGTTATATCTATTCCCTTTGGTATTATTAATTGCATTATACTCCAGTTCGTTTAATAATTTCTGTACATGCAGATCCATAATAGTTCACCATCCAAATAAGTGTATTTTTATCACTCGTAAATGTAAAATTATTTTCTTACCACAGATTTTTGCCTTGAAACACTGAAATGCACATCCTCATCGTCACTGGAATCCAACTCCACCACATTGGTCTGGTGTTTGCGTCTCTGAGGCTGAGGCGAATCGTCGACAATGTTAACGAAGCATCTTGAGGTGTCATCATCATTGGCAACACCACACGTGGGAACAGTTTTGTCGAAAATGTGAGTCAAGGTTCCACACGCTTGTGACTCCATTTCCTGTAGGTCATCCCATTCCTCGGTGGCTTGCATCGACTCCGCCAAGGCGGCGAGAAAATCATCGCCGCAGTGTTCGACGGTGATGAATTCGCGACCATCATCGCCTGAACAGAAGAAAGAAACCTCAAATTTTGAAAGAGATTTGAAATGAAAGAGAATTAGAAAATGGTAGGAAGAGTACCGTAGAGAGCGAGAAGACGGTCGAAGCACTTGTTAGCGGAGTGTTCGTCGAATCCAAAATCAAGGGCTAAACTGATTAAGCGAACTCTTTCCAACTCCAAATCGTGCTTCTTCTTCCTGCTACTGCTTGCCATTTCTATTCCCGCGCTATTTTCTGCTTTCAACTTCAATTCTATTATTTTCCCCTTCTGCTTCTGCTCCCGGCGTTGTGTGAACCGTTAATTCAGGGATAGGAACCCGTTAGTTTTATTTGTATTTCTCATAAATTTTATAAGATATTAGTTAAGGAAAAAATATATAATTTCTTTATTAAAAAGATACTTATTGTATAAAAGTTTATATTACCTTTACATAATTATAAATATTTATCTTATTTAACCAATATTCTTAAAATATTCATAAATAAAATCATATTGTATAAGACATCCAAAAGTAGCATAATGAGCTCGTCCCCTTTTTCGTTAAGAGTAAGTTTTACAACGTTTTTTTATTTTTTCGATTTTGGTAAATTTTAAAAGTAAATAACTTAATTAGTTAAAATATAATATTTTTTCATTTTTTTTTCGTCCCCTTTTTCGTTTTTTCATTCGTTAAAATATAATATTTTTTCGTTAAAAGTAAATATTATATAACTTAAGAGGAAGTACATAACTTAATAATTCTTTTTTAAAAAAATAAAATAATTAAGATATCAATGTGCATACAAATTGAAAGATGCTTAAATTATAAAAGCATTACATCCTTGCATATAATGTTAACAAAATATAACTAAATATACAAACTCAAATAATCTTGCTTAAATTTTCATAAAATTTAGCAAATTTTAAAATTTTAAAACAAAAAAATTAGTAAAAAACTCAAGGGACACATTAAAATTACTAAGTACTTTAAGCTTGTGTTTAGATAGAGTATTTTAAAATTACTATATTTATATATTTAGACAATAAAAAAAGTAGTTTTAAAATACTGTAAAATTTTAATGAAATAATTTTTGTTAAATATAAAAATTGAAAATAATTTATTTTTAGAAAGAATTTAATTTTTTTTATTATACTTAATTTTTTGTATTTATTATTTATAATTTTTGCGTAATTAACATGTTACCAAGGAAATATGATGAAAAAAAAAGTAAAGATAAGAAGATAGAGACAAAAATGAAAAAGATTAGAAGGTGATGATCATGTAAGAAAAGAGGATAAAAATAAAAATTTCTCATAACGTAAAGAAAGAAACTCTCCTAATGCAAGTAAAAATTTTATAAAAATTGATAAGTTCATATTTTAATATGTTTTATAATTTATATTTATATACTTGAAGCTTATTTTATGGGTGTTTCACATTAATTTTTATTGTTAATTTTTACATTTAAGCATGAAAGAACCACTAGTACATTATGAGAATATTTTGAGCAAAAATCAGACAATTACAATTGACCTGCAAGAGAGTATGATCGTGCTTCGTTATCTAGTACAACCATGCTAGAAGATGATGCACGACTATGCTGAATAGATCTGCGTTCAAAATTTAATTTTAAATTTTAAACTTTGTGGTTTTTTTTTTTTTTTAATCTAGATTCATATTTGAAATCTAAACAAAGATGTCAGTTGAGATTCTATTGGTCGACAAAATCGATTTTTGTTCAAAAATATAAAAGCTCAACCACTAAAGATTGAGTGACGATTAAGGAACTCAGTGTACACTCTATATAAAGAAGCCTTATGCTCCTGAAAGGGGACACCTTTTACACACCATCTTTTTCCTCTAAGTTCTGACTTAATCAATCATTAAGAGTTATTGGAGATCATTGGTAAAGATGACGAGTGCCCCTTCAGAGTTTGAGCGAGTGATTAAGTGCCCTTAAGAGAACAAGAATTACTTCCATCCTTTTCCCTTTTGGGTCTTTTCAGTTCAAATTGTCCTTTGTATTTATGGATTTGTTGATCATGCTTTTCGTTGTTCGTTTTGTTATGAGTAGCTAAATCCATAACTAGGATTGTGACAGATTTTATTGCATACTCTATGTGACTTTTATATTTAATAACGATATTGGTTTCTTTTTAATGTTTAGTTTTTATCCTATCAAATTGAATTTTGCATGATAAGAATTGATCACCTTTAGCATCTTATAATTAGTTGCATCATAGGCAGTTGTACCACATGTAATTAATGAAACTATTAGATAAAACAGAACAAAGGGTTAGGCAGATCAAACTTAATTATTCCTTTCCAACAGTTATTGAATTAACAAACGCATAAGCTCTTTATGCTTTTTCTACCTTTTGTCTTGCATGATCATTAGTGGTGATCGCTTAGGGAAAAGAATATTGACATTGCATGATCATTTGGTGTTAATAGAATAAGTATAAGTGGTTGGTAAACATTAAGGAAACTAATATTGGAATTAAACTAAAGAGAACATAGAGAGTGTAATAGGTGAAACTATATGCCCTAAGCTCTTCTCATCCAATTTCTATCAAAAATTACTTTCATGTCTTTTTAATTCCCCTTTGAATTTAAACACCTCTTGTTTTTAATTCATTACGCACCTTTTCAGTTTAAACAATTAAATCAATGTGTTCTTGGTACTTGAAAATAAGCTCTATAGGACGATAACTTGGGAACTCAATTTTAAACGCCTTATTACTTTTTGACTAGTACACTTGCCTACAAATAAGTTTTTGGCATTATTGCTAGGGATTAATTTTTAATATAAAAGAAAATTGAGTACTTAGTTGATTTAAACATTTGTATGTTTGTTTATTTGTTTTGTTTTGTACTCATTTACTTTAAGCTTATTGCAAAATTTGCTTTTGATTTAGAGATTAAGAAGACAACACAAAGGCTAAGAAAGGAGTGTAGACAGAAGAAAAAGATGGCTGAAGAGCAACCAATCTTGGAGTATATGACACCCACTGTTGAGGGGATGCCAGAAGCATTGTAGCCCCTGATAAAGAGGCCAACAATTTATGAATTGAAGTTAGCCTTGATCAATCTAGTCTAGAACTCTACACTGTTCTTAGGGCGACTTGATGAAGACCTCATCTCTATTAGTAAAAGTTCCTCCGATTTACAGACACCATAAAATACAATGATGTCACCAAAGATGCTATCATGCTTCGCCTCTTTCCATTCTCTCTTACAGAAAGGATGAAAGTATGGTTCTCTATACTCCTATCAAATTCAATTACAACGTAGGATGACCTAACTCAGCAATTCTTGGCCAAATATTTCCCACCATCACTCTTTGTGAAGCTTATGATATAAATTTCTAATTTTCAGCAATATGAGTCTAAATCTCTGCTCGAGACATAGGAGCGGTTTGGAGAGCTCTTGAGGAGATGTCCACATCACGGGTTCCCTGTGTGGAAAGAGATGCAAATATTTTATAGTGGACTCTCATCTTTCAATGAAGTCACAATTAATGCGACAGCTAGAGGAGCCTTCCTAAGCAAAGGGCCATTTAAGGCCTACACTTTGGTAGAAAAGATAGCATCTAACAATTTTCAATGACATATAAACCATTTAATTGGAGCAAAGAATTTCAAAACTTGAGTCCCAAATGGAACAACAAAGCCTTTAGATAGAGCAACAACTCCAAACAATGGACAAAAAGTTCTAAGAAATAAGCTTTGACATATTCGAAATAAAATCATAATTAGGACAACTTACCAGTTTATTGACTCAAAGGGAGTTAGGAATGCTGCCCACCTAGCCTATACCTAATCCTAGGGAACATGCCAAGGCAATTAACATTGAGAAACGGGAAGACATTGTCTGATAACGTGTCAAAGTCACAAAATAGAGTTGCAAGCACACTCATGCACATAGAGCAACATGACCTCGCACCCCTAGGCACGCCTGTGCTTACTGAGAAGGACGACCATGACTTGCAAGAAGTACAAATGTGCTTTGTTGATATGCACACCCAGTTCATAAGCACATCCATGCTCACTCATATGCATGGTTGTGCTGACATCGCATAAATTGAACGAGAAAAAAAGAAGAAGAGCTATTTGCGACACCCAAACCTCAAGAACCTCAAATCACTTTTTTGTAGAGGCTAAGGAGCAAGTAGAGAGACTCACAGTTCAATAAATTCTTTGAAATCTTGAAAAAGTTATACATTAACATACCATTTGTGGAGGCTATATCTCAAATGCCCAAATACGCTAAGTTCCTCACAGAGATATTGAGTAACAAGAGGAGGATAGAGGAATTTAAAACTATAGGGCTCAATGAAGAATGTTCCACAATCCTTTTGGAAAAACTACTCTTGAAGCTTAAAGACCCTAGGAGTTTTACTATTCCTTGTACTATAGGTAGCTCTCATTTTGATAAAGTCTTCTGTGATTTAGGAGCTAGTATAAATCTATTGTCTCTCTCTATTTTTTGAAGTTTGGAGTATGCAAAAATTTAAATCTACCTTTGTTTCTTTGCAGTTAGCAGATCGATCTATCACTTACCTAAGGAGCATAGTAAAAAATGTCTTGGTAAAGGTCGACAAGTTCATCTTTTATGTAGATTTTATTGTATTGGACATGGAGTAGGATAATGAGTTCCCTATTATCTTGGGGAGACCATTCTTAACCACAGGAAAAACTATCATAGACGTCCAGTAAGGGAAGCTCACGTTGAGATTAAACGATGAGAAAGTTGTTTTTAAAGTTTTTGATTATCTTAAACATCCCTTTAGTTTTGACTCTTGTAATTTTAATTATGTGAGTGATGCTTCTTTCTCTTTAGACTCTGTGCAGTTAATAGATAGGTTGAGGAATGATATTCTAGAAAAAAATCTTCATACTTAGGAGAAATGCTCTACTAGAAATAGAGGAAGTGATATGTGAGATCTTAGTCTTAGAGAGCAGAAACCTAGGATGGTGGTTAGCACCTAGGCATTTTGAAAGCATGGGAGCATGTGATACTTAAATTCCTAAATCATCCATTAAAGAACTTCTAGAATTTGAGCTCAAACCCCTTCCCCTCTAATCTTAAATATACTTTTCTATCTCCTTCTTTTTCTCTTCCTATAATATTTTTTTCTAAATTGATAGGTCTTGAGGGAAAACAAGGAACCCTTTCAGTAGAGTATTCTTGACATCAATGGTCTTAACCCTTCCATATGCACCCATCAGATTTACTTGGAAAAGGAATTCAAACCCAAGGTTCAACCTCAAATAGGCTTAATCCTCAG